TACCTATTGCCAATGGAACGTAGAATATAGAGTCGAGTACAACGAAATTGATTAATGGTCAAAAATCTACGTGTAAAGTTGGCTGCACATTGTTTGAGAGATGTAGAACGACAATCATTGTGTAACACATGGCATCAATCCAGTTGAGAACATAGACAAAGACTGATTATAAGGTGGCTAAAAGTTTGTGGCGAAGCTCCGTAGAAAAAAAAGGTGGATGTCTAAAAAATTGTCTACAGTATGGTGATGTATTTGATTTTTTTTTCACAACATTGATATTCTTATTGGCTCATTGCTATACAACAATATACAGTTTATACAAAAAAATTGATTTTACAGAAATTAGAGTTTACTTCCGAATTTTAAACAAAAAAATATACACGAATTTTTGTAAAGTTAGATTCATAATTGCAAATTTGTGATGAAATCAAATGGCCGCAAGAAAAGTTGTTATTGACAAGATCCAATAAATCATAAAACCGCCAAGTGCTACACGCAAATAAAAGCGAATATTGTATAAAAAACCTTATGATCGATCAAAATTATCTACTTTTTGAATGTTTTCAAGAATCTTCTCCACTTTTTGAATGTTTTCAAGAAGCGCATTTTCAAGTTTAATAAACCTTAGATCGATCAAAATTATCTATTACTCCCTCTGTTTTTTTAAGATCAAAACCTTAGATCGATCAAGATGATAAACAGCAGATCCAAAACATGTCTCGGATATGTTAAGAGGGTCTTCGCAGCAAAGCCGGAGATTCTCAGGTTAGTCACTTTACCATGTGACTTTGAAGTTCCCGGCATAAAGTACGGGGGTTCGACCACTCTCTATGAGAGGGAAGAATATACGACTATGGTCAAAGAGATGGAACGAGGTGGAATTGAATTTTTCCACCGGGAGTAAATTACAGGATTTGAGAATCCAGAAAACTTTGATCTTCTCTCAACAGAAAAGATATCGAGCTCGCAAAATATTGGATTTGAGCATCCAAAAAACTTTGGCCCTCTCATACATGGAGATATGACTCTCGACGAGAGATGGAATGAAACACAGTGAAGGCGAATTGGTCTCTCCAGGCTCGATTTAGAGGACAATGATTTTAACGAGCTCTGTAACAACTTGCCTAAATCGACAAGAAAGACGGTATCATACACATCCAAAAATAAGATCGATGCAGAGTATGAATACGGTTCCGGTAATAGTTCTAACAAGGTGTTATCCACATCCAAAAATAAGGTCGATGGAGAGTATGAGCATGGATGATGACTAACCCGGGGAGATTGGAACCAAACCCATCCCGAAGCGGAATCGTGGACGATTA